GTGGTTGGATTCATAAATATATACCTCACAATAATGAATTCCATTGTGCTGCATCACTAGGACGATTTTACTAAACAATTACAAGCAAAGCTTATATTATACAGACAATGGCGTATATACTAAAACAACATAAATTATTGTGTTTGTCACACATAATAGTACCAAGCTACTACATACTTAATGATATTGATGCCAGAGAATTTGAGCTACAATTGAGCAATATTTCAGTGAATAGACTTCATTGATTTATAGAACTACATTTTTCTATTGCAACATATACATACATATAAATCTTTACTGGGGCACATTTCTGGGAGTAGAATTATAATGTAACATGTCCCCTTTTCTCGATCGGCGAGGCAGAGAACAATGTTATTGTGTATAAATTACCTGACGCCAACAACGCTGAGATTGAGCTTTTTAGCTACGTGTAAAAGATGTATTGTATGTTTCACATCACATCCGAATTTTATTCCCAAATTTACCAATGCGCTGGGATCGTCAGCTTTAATTCGTATAACCAATCTACAAAACAAAAACAAAACAAAAAACAGTATTATGCAAACTGTTGTCGAAGCTATAATATAAAAAAAAATAACGAATAATACACTTACTCCGCATCTGGGTATACTTCTTTGATTTTGTGGAGTTCATACTCGTCATCAAATGTCATCAATCCTGCTTTTTTATCGGCAGCAAATTGTAAATGCGTCTTGGATTTGCAAGGGTTGGCATAAATGATGCGCGATGCTGGAACACCAATATTTAGTACATCTTCAATTTCTGACTGAATCGAAAACAGGATTAAACAAATTAATCAAATTGACACGTGTTGCAAAATGATATATTAAAGTCCTAATGGCAATATAGAAACCTGAATTATCGCTTACGCGGTGACCCAAAATTTCCAATTCAAGTTAAGTTATTTCAATCATATGACATATTTGATGGCCCGACAGTGGCAAATAAGCGATGGAGTAAGTCATGTTTGAATTGAACTCCACTTCACAATGTTAAATTCATTTTGTCGGTACATATGTGTTTAAAAATTAATGTCATCGCGGATAGATGTGATGATTTGTGATGTACACAATTTTATTTAACTAGTGTTGTACGTTTCTGGTTTTGTTAAAATTACTACGCATGTGAATATTATATTATAGGGTAACTATGTTACTCCGATCGAACGAGGAATATATTTTATTATTGAATCATCGTTCTGTTTAAATTATGACGATGGTAAACAAGGTTACTCAATTAAAAAACAATTCAATTAATGATAGTCACGCAATATGCAAAGAATTATATTCATTGAATCATATTATTATTAAATGACTAATGTCACGCTTGATATGATATTTGTGAGTGTCAAAAAGCAGAAAAACAGATCTAAAAAATTTCTGTTTATAAAAGATATTTAATAATCTGGTAGACTTTACACTACTGAATTGTGCAAAATAACTAATATAGATAATTATACCAAACGTACTTTACATATTAAACTTGATTACTAGCTATGGTATCTTATATACCGTTATGGCCGATAATGAGCTTTGATTGTTTTGCTAAAGCCCATCCATACCACGAATATACACAAGTGCAAATAACATACTAGTTATAAAGAGTACATCAGATTAGCTACCGGGCAGTGCGATAGGGACATTTGTCGCAGGTGGTAATGGCTATTGTACGCGGGTTCAAGGCCAACGTCCAATTACACAGTGGCCCCTATATGTAAATCATCCAATGTGATTTTAATTATGCAAATTAATTAATTTACTATGCTGAACAAAACGTTCTACGTACGCCTAGACATATTACAATAACAGAATAACCGACATCCAATCATCACTAAACGACTTCAATGTTACACTCACGGAAAGTAATCTGTATTTTTTTTATTCACAGAACAGTATAATATATTAGCGTACTTTGTTAATGTAAAAAAAATGATCTGATTCCATGGACAGATCGCATGATTGAAAAGTACAATACATTGTTTGATTGTTATCTAAAATTAGTATACTAAGTAAAAATAAAAATGTCTGAATAGAGTATTTACTGAAAAATGTGAAATACTAATACAATACTGCATACATACCTTGCTAGCGCAATCAAATCCAGAACCAAGTGCACCTAGGACTGTAAGTATCACTGGATGTGAATTACATTTAACAGCTGTGGGGGAAAATAGTAGTTATGTCTCAATAGCTGAAACAATCAAATGATAAGAACCTTTTTTTAGTGATATGTTTTTATTTGACTGTGATGTAGGTAAAATCTTAAATGAACTTCAAATATGTAGTAGCGTTAACGAGAAATTATAGGCGTTTGTAATTGTTCGATGGAGGAACGGGTGTGTTTAGCGCAAAATTATTAGAAAAAATATTATTTTCATTTATTTGACGTCATTAGACATGCGTGGTGCAAAAACAAAACCACCTTACTAAACGCAGGCAATAATTACCTAATATGTCCTTGATTATTGTTTTGATCTTTTATCTTTATAATTATAATACTATTACTAATACTAGATTACAAGAGATTAAACAATTTTGATAAAATATTCTAAGATTTATAATTATATTAAACATGTGACAAATATATTTACCGTAAAAAGGATGAACTCGTGGTAGTAAGCTCTGCCATTCCTTGAATCGTCTAACGACCTCCCCAATATCCATGACGTAAAATGCGTCATCATTTTTCTGATAAGATAAAATTCATGGAGTACTCAATTGTTTTAGACTATTGAATAATTTGAATATATTAGGTAAGTTATCAAATAAAGTGTTTAATGGACACATTTAACAAATGAAGGCGTAATTCAAACTAGTATACGTAAATTGAAATC